CGAAAGACGTGTTCCAGATGAGTGTCGCTATATCTCGCCTCCAATGCCTCAAGGAGTTGCTCATAAGTCACTTCCTCACCGAGAGCTTCCAGAACTGTTAAGGCCTGGTCGCGCAGGCCCAGTGTGAAAGCAGTCATGACTTTTATTCCAGCCGTTCGCCTTGATAACAGCTTCGAACTGGATTTTGTAGGCCGACCATGAAGAAGTCCCTTGAACCCACGTAGCGAAGGTGTTGTAGCTACTACGGGAGATGTAATTCCATCTCCCAGTTTGAGGTCGTCCAGCGTTTTCTTCACGTCAGTTATCACGTAATCAACCCGGTTGTTCACTTGGTCGATTTGGGTTTTAGCTTCCTTTATTTGGGTTTCAGCTTCCGACAGGCGGTTGTCATGTTGAGCAACCCTATCCTTCACCTCCCTTATCTCTTTACCGAAGTTAGCGTGAATGTCCTTCACGAGGAGCATCTGCTCTTCCTGTCGGCGAGCCTGTTTCTCCTGTCGGCGAGCCTGTTCCTCCTGTTGACGAGCCTGCTCCTGCAGCATCACCATCAGAGCACCTAAGTCAGGTGTTGCAGATGTAGGAGCTACTGACGGGCCTGCAGCCGGCGGCTTCGGGTACGGACACCCGTTTCCTCCTTAGGTAAAATCGGCATGATTTTATCCCACTTCTGACACCAATTGTTACGAGCTTGAGGTTCGTGACAATAAAAACTGCCGATTGAATTACCAAAATTTACACTTTTATTACCCAAAACCAATTAAAACTAAAAAAAAACACTAATAATTAATCACACTGATTCACTTTATTTCGCTCCGAAGCTTCGCTTGTCTCGCCAAAATTCAATACTTCATCGATCGCATCTTGCAGCGCCTTTAAATACACATTATCACCGAAATATCCAGAATATTCAAGTAAATACGCGCGCCAATCGATCAGGCGCCGAAAGTTTGAGTGTAGGGATTCTAGAAAGCTTAGTACTTCATTTGGATACTAGATGGCGCTGTCGGTTGAAAGATTAGTGATGTCATTTTCTGGAAAGCTCTCCTCGCTCTGTTACCCGACACAGATGGCGCTAGTGCCAGACGTCTACTAAGGCGCGCAACAGTATTTAGCCAATAGCGTTACCCAGTTAAAATATAAATTATAAATAAATATAACTTTTATTTTTAATTTATATGGTTTAATAAAAATAAAATTTCAAAAGATTTAACGGTAAATGATTTATTATTTAATAATATGATAATTTTGAACCACAAGTACAGCATAAAATATGAGGTATAGGTTTTATTTTATATCAAAAAATTGTTAAAATCCTTTTTTAATGTGAAGCCTAAATTTTAATGTAATAAATCAAAAGAATACATACATGTATTGATGTTTTTTAAAAAAATTCCTTTAGCCCTTCAGTATATAAAATTTTAATAGCGCCATCTACTTCATTCTATGGGTGAAACTCTTTTTATCGGACGAAAATTGATAAACTCTCTAGGTGGTACGTAAAGAATACGCTAGATGGCACAAACACGGCTTTCGGCTAAGTTAATATTAAGTAAGGTAGGAAATCGATCGAGGATTATTTTGAATGTACTGGATAATTTAAGTTGGAGAGGTCTCGTCTAATGAAGTCAACGCTCCGTCCCCCTCGTGCTCTAATCCAGAATCCCGAACACTTTCAGCTCGAGTTACGTAACCGCTTTCAGTGCCTACAATATTGCAATGCAGTGGACGATATGAATGACAAGCTCGTGGAAACTGTACATGCGGTCGGAGCTAAGTGCTGCAAGACCCACTGCAGAAGAACACAAAAACTCTCCGATCATACTCTTAATCTCATGGCTGTTAGACGGGAGATGAGGCTGTAAGCGTCAACAGATTTGACAGCATACAGGCAACTGAATAGACAGATCTCTAAATGCATGCGGCGAGACTTACGCAACTTTAATACTGCTTTAGCAATCGAGCGGAACCAGGGCTCCAAAGTCTTTGCCAGAGATCTGTCTACCAGTAAGAGCCAACTGTCAAAGCTGAAGACTGAGTGTGGCAGCATCGTTTCCGGGACACCTGAGATTTTGAGTGAGATTGAGAGGTTCTATGGGCAGCTGTACACATCATCGTTGGAGCCACACGCAAGTGTGAGTAACGATACAAGAGCAAGTCTTATCCGACACTATTCCGATGATATCCTGGACGTCAGTCTAAGCGAGATTAGAATGGCTCTCCAGCACCTTAAAAACGACAGGGCCCCGGGCAAGGATGGAATTACAGCGGAGCTTCTGAAAGCGGGTGGAACACCGGTACTTGAAGTCCTTCAGAAGCTCTTCAATTCTGTCCTCCATGGTGGCACTACTCCAGAGGCGTGGAGCAGAAGTGCGGTGGTCTTGTTCTTTAAGAAAGTCGACAACGCTCTATTGAATAACTACAGACCGATTTCCCTTCTGAGCCGCGTCTACGTGCTGTTTTCTAGAGTCATTACGAATCGTCTCGCACACAGACTCGACGACTTCCAGCCTCCCGAACAAGCCGGTTTTGCGAAAAGGCTTCAGTACCATAGACTACATACATACCCTACGTCAGATTGTACAGAAGACTGAAGAATACAATCTGCCACTTTACCTGGCGTATGTGGACTATGAGAAAGCCTTTGATTCGTCGAAATTTGGGCGGTGCTACCGTCCCTTCAGCGGTGCGAAGTTGAGTGTCGGTATATCGAAGTACTGAAGTGTTTGTACAGTAGGGCTACGATGGCTATCCGAGTACAGAACCAGAACTCGAAATCTATCCAACTGCAGAGAGGTGTAAGACAGGGTGACGTTATTCCCCGAAACTCTTCACCGCTGCATTGGAAGACGTTTTCAAGCTACTGGACTGGAAAGGATACGGTATTAACATCAATGGCGAGTACATCACTCACCTTCGATTTGCCGACGATATAGTCCTTATGGCAGAATCGCTGGAGGACTTAAGCACTATGCTCAATGACCTCAATAGTGCCTCCCAACGGATAGGTCTTAAGATGAACATGGACAAAACAAAGATTATGTTTAATGTCCATGTCACACCTATGCCGGTAGTTGTTGGGAGCACTATGCTCGAAGTTGTTGACGAGTACGTTTACCTGGGACAAATAGTCCGACTAGGTAAGTCCAACTTCGACCGAGAGGTCAATCGACGGATTCAACTCGGCTGGGCAGCGTTCGGGAAATTACGACACATCTTCTCGTCAGGTATACCTCAATCTCTAAACACTAGAGTGTACAACCAGTGCGTGTTGCCAGTGATGACTTACGGATCTGAGACGTGGTCCTTCACTGCTGGCCGTATGAGGACGCTCAAGGTCGCTCAGCGAGCTCTGGAGAGGGCTAATGCTCAAGTAAGGGCGGAGTTTCTCTGCGTGATAGACTCAGAAATGAGGATATCCGCAGTAAAACCAGAGTGACCGACATAGCCCAACAGCTGAAGTGGCAATGGGCTGGCCATATAGCTCGAAGAACCGATAACCGATGGGGAAGTAAGGTTCTCGAGTGGCAGCCTCATACCGGTAGGCGCAGTGTAGGGCGTCCCCCTACTAGATGGAGTGACGACCTGGTAAGACATGCAGGAAGTCGATGGATGCAGGTGGCTCAGGACCGTACTTTGGAGCATTACTTGGGGGAGGCCTATGTTCAGCAGTGGACTTGTGAAGGACTGTAATGATGATGATGATGATGATGATGATGATGATGATGATGATGACTGTGAAATTGGGTTTTGCTATCTTTTGGTTTAAGTGTATTAATTAAACATATTCATTTTTATAATTAACATTACAAAATTACCATGAACTTGTGTTAGCCTTTTTAAATCTATTTATGGAGTACGCTTTTTAAGGAAATAGGGATCTGGCAAGATAATGTAATATTTATCCATTCTCGCTCGCTGAAAGGCTGGTTGGTGAGGGAACAAACAAACAGACAAGTATTTATCAGTAACATATTTTCTTTTAAATTTTATTTCGTATGTAGCACGTTTATATTTCGTAATAGTGTTTGAAACTTAAAGATCTGCTTCTTAATCATATAAATGAAATATTATTAATAGAGGTGAGAAACTAGCGCCATTATTATATTTTCAATAAAGAATAAGATGTAGGGTATTTGTCCCTTATTAAGGCTTCTATGAATCTCTCGTAGTCAATAAGTTTTCGTCCTTGTTATTCACTTTACGAAACAGCGGAATTATAGACTTATATTTTTAAACCTGATGTTTAATGAGAACCCTTTTATATAGAATACCTGCAACATAATTCTGAAATATGTTAAGAAAATTCTTCCATTATCCATACAACCAATAAAAATTTTAAAAAATTCAATTGTTGATGGTGTTGGGGATAAATTTAATCGCTCGCACAGTTTTTGCCGTTAAGAAATCTATATTTCAAATGGCGGATTGAATATCATAATATATTCAAGCTTAAAATTCATCGAGGCTAATTCAAAAATGCAGCATACATTATTTTAATATCCGCATTAAAATCTAATTGCTTGAAATAAGAAATCGGTATGTTTATTTTAGGAGCTGCTATAGTTTGATGAAAATGACGCTAATCTAATAGCTAATCATATTTTACTCTACTTGTTGTTTGATATATTTGATTATTTGATATATTTATATAATTTATTATTATTACATAAAAGATCTACAGTACTACATTCCTTATTATACTTGTGAATATAAATACTGAGATATTACTTGAAATTCCTTTGGTGTATATGTAATATCAATTCAAAAAACTGTTTTGATAATCTCAAATTGCTATTGTAAATTTCAAGGTTGCAAGAGGATATGTGTAGCATTTTTTAAAAATATTTAGTGACTGTACGTGATAGCGAACTATAAAAATTAATATATGATATATTCGTATGTATAATATAAAATAAACATTACTTTCGGTTCAATAAAAATCTTTGTACGCTTTTCTTTAATTCTATATATTAACAATGATGTAACAAGTGTATGATAAATTAACCAAGAAGAGAAGCGACAACTGAATCGGGTACACCTCCGCCAGGTCCTTGTTCAATCTCTGGTTGGTAGCCGTTATCGTCAGCAACATATGTTACAATGTATGTGACACCATCTTGTCCTACGTACGTGTATCTACCCTTTACACTGAGGTACTCATTATCGCTGCCTTCGTTAATCACTTCTCCTTGCTGTTCTTGTTTGGTGCCGTCTGACTGTTCGAATCTGTAAAGAAAATTTATATTTTAAATTTCCTGTTGAACTTATTATTTTTTAGCTTTTATTAATTAACTCTTGACAACAAAAGAAAGACTTGTTACGTGTGAACGTGGAAAGAGAATTAATGACTACATCCTCAAGCTTTATTGTAAAAATGTAAGTATAAAAAATATGCGTTATAGTACCTTTTGACAGGTGGCAGAATAACTACAGAAATAAAGGGATGTCTTCGGGAATTATAAAGTTAAAACTAAACGTGATAAAATCTGTAAATGTGGTTTTAGTAGGTATTTAACGTGTGATGAGTTTAATATACGGAATAAATGATGAGTAAAAATAGTGATTAGTGAAAATGACTAAGAAAGAATTGTTTATGTGTCGATAATTAATCATACTACATTAATATCTACTCATTTCCGTAAGAGCTAAAATCCTTAAACTAAACAATTTTTTTTTGATATGAATATTTACAGGTACTACGTGTTGAATCTCAAACCGTTGCAGATTTTTATTTTATTTGCATAATTTCAATCTAGCTCACTTGAGGTGCTGGTATTATATAGATGTAGCATTTTGATTTTATTTAAAGGTCTCATAAAGTTTATTTTAAAACATTAATAGTAAATGTTAACTACTTTGAAATACCTGTTGTCGCCAATCTATCTTCTATTCTATAAACTTTTTCCTGGGCTGACCTGTATATTGATATTTTTGGAAAGTTATAATTATGTTACACTTCAGTATCGATATAAAAGACATTTTTTGGCTGCTTTTTGCTTATTTTGTCTGTCTTTTAAATGTAACAGTGCAACAGTAAGTCACTGGTCACACTTATGACTTACCGGTACAATTGTTGCTGGTACCGTACGTGAAGATGACAAAGAAACCGCTACAATATATAATAATTTACATTTCTAAAATTTAGTTTTTATTTACATTTTCAAAGCCCTAATAGTCAAGTGATTAAAAGATACCGATTTGTTCTCATTCACTGAAAATACTTTTCATTTCATTCACTGAAAATTCACTGAACAGATTTTCTTTACTTTGTAATTTTTAATAGATAAATTTCTAAAATTGCAGCTAAAACGACACTAGCTCCTCAGGTGACATGAGAAATATGTTTACGACGTCTGCATAGACGGATAACGTTGCCAAATAAAAGTTCTACGGCGTCGTTCAACGTTCAAAATCTTTCAATTATTGAATTGTTGCGTAATGAATATGTGTCTCGACATCAAAAACTAAGTACTCGTAATTTTCACGCATCCATATGCGGGAGTGTAGAAGACGTTGACGGTTGTTTTATATAATTATCCTCACGAATTTGTAACTAAACACTTAACATTGCAATGAACAATTTCATTGGTGCCGGCGGGGATCGAACCCGGGTTCCTCGCGTACTGTGAAATTTACATCGAGCGCTAAGCTCCTGAGCTACCACTGCCCTGGTAGTTTAAAATTTAAGATGACTATTTTTATTGGCGCCAGCGACACTTCATCACGTACCCACATTCCAAGATGTATCTTTAAAGTAAATCGACTACCTTCAGTTTTTGGCTGTTGAGATTTTGACGAACCTAAACTTCAAGATTTTGACGAACTTAAACTTCAGATGGTTTGCTGAATGCAAGGTCAAAGTAGTCACAAGGAAATTAGGTGTTCTTGGAAAGGTGCGGCGGTACTTCACACTGGGAAAACTTGTTACTTTGAATGAAACTCCGGTCGTGCATGACTAGCGTGTAGCCATATGGGCTTGTATTGTAAAATTCAAAATAGCAACGTTGAAATCAGAGGGGCTTGCTAAAAGTCTTATTGGTGAACTTGTTTTAGTTAAAACCAATCTTGTCCGCCTCAAGCGATGGCCTAGAGTAGCTAGTCTCTCGGTGTTCTCCAACATTACAGATTGAGCGTAAAAGTTAAATAATATAGAAATAGAACAATTTGCTGGCGTCTAGTGTTTCGTCTAATTACAACGGAAATAGGCTTTTTTACGTTGAGACAGCGCGATTTACCTTCTTGGGGATTATCATCGCTTACTACTTCGTTAGATTGTTGTCAAACAATGGCTTGTAATAAGTAAAAATACTATCGCAAATGAGCCAGCTTACCTAACAGTCCTGACGTGGTACCAAGCGACTTTCGTTTCTTTCCCCATGCATGCATGAAATTTAAATTAAAAGAACAAACTTTTGTTCTGATGTGGGGTTGATAGCTGTGTGGAATAGCTACCAGGATACTAAAGAAAAATGTTTTGTCAAAATGTAAAATATACAGTATAATGTAGGATAAACATATACAATACGTGTGAAGAAGTGAATATCATGATCTGATGATATCACTTCCTCACACGTATGAGGTGGATACATTAAATACTGGTGAAGTTACTAGTTTAAAGTAACAAAACCTTTGCCGTCACCAACGTATTTAGACTTTTATGCAATTGGCGAACTCAGTTGTACGTGGTGCAGTGCGGATGCTACGCTTAATAAGATTAACATTCTCGTGACCAAATATCGGCATCGTCTTGTAAAGGCCTACAGATAGATATCTGTGAATTCTTAAGCTGCTAAAAAAGAGGACAGGTATAGGTATAGCTTTTAGGATCTGGATAATTTTAATTGCCCCTTAATTTAATTACTAATATTATCACATATCACAAAATAGGTATATAATTTTTACTTAGCATTTTATCGGATAGGCGTATATTGGATTTATATGCGCAAACGATACGTATCAATAATACGAGTATTCAGAAGTTGTAGCTATGGCTGTAGTAAGTTAGAAGGATATTACCATAATTTTATGCTTTTTAATGTGTAGATATAATCCAATAAAAGGAATGTTTAAGTGAGTCTCGTAATAATAATATTATCAAGTGCAGTAGTCGGTTTCTCTCTTAGGTTAGTTTCCTTGATTGAAAGATAATGTTTGACTTGACTTCACTTTTTTTTTATAAATTATATTCAATTTGCCTTGACAATGACATGTTTGAACTGAATACTAATTTCGAAACTAGTTTTCTAGGATATTTTAAATCTACTTTAATATTTATATATATTTGTATTAATAGAATCAGGCGTTACTTTGCGGAAATCCATTATAATAAAAAATAAAAATATAAATTTCTTTGCAACTTTCCGCTAAACATATAAAATGATGTGTCTTACCTGGATTGAAGCGCACCTCCCGCCCTCCCTCAATTGCATACACTAACTCCGTCACCACTAGACCAAGCACCACTACTCTCAACACCACTATTCCAGGCAAGACACACCATCGACGATAATACGACACGTGTTTCGCCTCTACACGAGGCATCCTCAGGTAATATAGACTCTACGGCGGCTGACCTAATTCTGGAATAGTGTTTGAGAGTAGTGTTTAGGGGAGAGTAGGTATGAAAGGGAGTGCTTCAATCCAGGTAAGACACATCAATTAGCGGAAAAAAAAAAAATAAGAAAACATTGATCGGAGTATGACTTGAAATTCACTACAAATGAACCAAAAAAGCGGTGCCAATTTGCCAACCAACAAAAAATATCCACCAGAGCGAATGAAGGTGTAGATATTTATGATTGAAATTAAATTTAAGATTTGTTCAACTACTATTGGATATTGAAATCGTTGCTTAAATTAAAATATATTTGAGTTATAATACTTTACTTATTGTAAGCCTATGCTTGACTATAATCCCAACTGATTGTATGTTTTTATTTTATACAGAAAAGGATGAAAAACGAGCACACAGTCCATCTAACGGTAAATAGATGATGTGGCCTATAGACATTTACATTTTATCCATAATTAATGATGTATGCAGATAAATGCAGATGCGTTGTCACCCCTGAGAACTATAAGATAGAATGCCCCGTTTCTCCAGTAAAGAGGGCCTCCGGTTCTCCGTACTCACCATACGAAACAGAGAAGCATTAAGAGGTTAGAGTAAGTCAGCTCAAATTCTAATTTCGCCCCCACTTCCCCGCGCGTCGTATGCTATGTACCGAAATATTTGTAATCACTAATTCTGTAAGTAGAAAGGTCGTTAGACACTTATTTCATTAGGTTTATCATATTTATGCCTGTTTCTTAAAGCCAAGCCAGCCGCTTCTTATTTTTATCACGGTTATTTCCCATTTTAATTTTACGTCGTACTGTTGCGTAATGTACATATATTCTGATCGTAAGCGACACAACTTCTCCCTTCAAAAGCCTAAGCGATACTAACGGAACGACAGGAATCAAGCTCAAGACGCCGATAGTTTAGGTAATTTCTTTTTACAGTGAAAATAATGGTATTTTAAAAAAAGTAAATAACATAAGCACTGCTTTATAGTTAGTTCAGTTAGTATGCAAAGTTTCACGATCTTATTTAAAGTATTTTATGAATAACAGCGGTTTATTGTTTATTTTGGAGGTAACTTTGGATTTTTTTTCTATCGAGAAAATTTTACGAAATCGTGTTTTCGTCTAACATAATCACTAACATTAATCCTCAACTTTACCATATATTTATTTCAAAATTAATGCTGCAATATTTTCGGCATAACGAAGGATCTTGCTAAGCCATTTGACATATTATTTCCCCTTAAGCTGCTATTTTACGCTGGTATTCTGTGATAGCGTGGTCCTACTTTGGCCAAGCGGACAAACGTACGTGATGATGGAGCCATACATTTTAATTGAATGGAAAGACTTTGTCGTAGGCACTACGAAAAAAACAGAATAAACGGTAGAATATCGACAACAAATGGGTGAAGACCCTTTGACCGCTTTATTGTCAGATGATGAAAAGGAGGTTGGTATCATTTAGAAAGGAATCAATCCCTAAAGCTTTGCTGTTTTAGCCCTAGTTGTTTTAATTGATGGCTGCCAATAAGTGATTGCTTTAATTGTAACTGTTTTTTTTTCTCGGTAACTTAATACAATAAAATATTATTTCATAACTTACGCATATTTGTAAGATCCAAATCCAGTGTTATCGTTATCGTAGCGAAGAATTTCAGCGTTCTTACTATCTGAGGAATAGAAAGCCGGGGGAGGGGCAGCTAAGGCAACGCCCAGCAGACACAACGCTACCACCTACAAGTAAACAAACAAATTTGAACATATTATCAATTAAAATTTTGAATCCCACCTCATTTTTAATCACTATGTAAAATAATACTACGTACCACTTTCATCATTATTAGCTGATATTTCGGCGTTGACCAAAAAGCGACACTAAAAGTTTGTTAAGTTCCGCAACCTTTTATATCTGTACCAGATGACTTAGTTTTGTTGTAATATTTAAATACCTACCTGCTTAGATGCGGTGGCGAAGGTAAACCACTTACTTGTTGCTGCTTAGAAAACAGACAAGCGTGTGTGTATTTTAAATTTCATCGATTCCGTAGTAAAGACTTGCAATAACATTTTTAAAAGTAGGAACGAGTATTCCTTCCGCTATAATAAAATGGAGTGAAACGTAAACCTACATTTGCAAGCGTTTGTAGCGACACAGTCTTCTGAAATTTTGTTACTATGACACTTCGGCATGAAACCGTACTTGGCTTATGAGGGAATTAAGAAATTATTATTTGACATAAGTAGTAGTATTCTTAACAAAATTTATCTTATTTACAAGTAGGCAGTTTTCACTCTTGGAAGTAATATTAATTATAGTTGTATAGAGAATTCTCGGTCAAGTCTTTTTACTGCTTTGGCCCATTCAAATACTGTAAGTGTGTACTAACAAAAGTTTTTTCACTATAGATTGCGTTCTTGGAATAATTTTAATAATAAAAAAATTAAAACCGATTTCTATTTAACGTTGCACAAATATAAAATTATGATCCATCGTGCCCTTTTTATGAAATATATGAAGTTGTAAAAGCCAAATGGCTAACAGTACTAACATCACAGAAACTAATAGAAACCAGACGTTGATATAATTAGTACAGCGATATCATGAATTTATTTTTACTTGTAATAGATTTCGACTTCTGCTTCATCTTTGTACATTAACGAGTAGGTTACGATATATCCTATTTACTGACAAGATTGAGTTACGTATATATACATAGTTTTATACTTAAAACTTGAAAGTAAGCTTATTACGTACAGAAATGTCTTACTAAACTAGTTCAAAAACATATAAATTTTTTGTCATTGCTTTAAAACTAACGCAGGTTTAAATTATTATAGGTGGGGCTTTGCTTAAGATTTAAAAGACAGGGTTCGATTTATAATAACAATGAATTTATTATTAATATTAAATTATTAAAATTTGGTCGATTTAGGAATATAATTTTATATCATTGTTACAACCGTGTAGTGGCGGTGCGGTGTAAGAATAACAACTACGCCAAATTCTTCCGTGACAAAGGATAACTGAAGCAGGAGATGAGCAGCAGCATCTTCCTCAATAACTCAAAAACGGCGTTTGCTAATCTGCCTGCCCAGAGTGGCAACTATGGAGAAATTCCCCCATGAGGCAATTTGTATGGAAAGTTACGTTTAGTAGAAGACTTTTAATGACCTGTTAGTTGTTAATTAAAAAGTTCTTTGAAGTGACGCTTTTCAAAATTATCTTTTTAAGCATGTTACGAACAGTAAGTAATACATTTAATGTAAGATTTAGCATGAAATGCATTATATGAAAATGATTTTTAATCAGAAGGCAAATAGCATTTTATACTATGGTACAAAACAAAACAGAGTCTACCTGTTGGTTAATGGATATTTTAGTCCATGAAAATCTTTAATTTAACTAGACTTACCTTTTCAACTCTTCTGACCGACTGACGGTGCTTAGCGGAATATAGAGCTAAGAATGAGGTATTTATTCATAGAAAAGGTGTATAAAGGTGGTAATATCCTAGCATATTAAATAAAAAGAAGTATATTTAACAAAGATTTTCTTCATGAATTTCTATTCTGCTCTACCCATTGTCATCTATCGAGTTGGCAGAAGTATCTTTGATTGTGACTTGTATATCGATTGGTAGCTTAAATTAAACCTATTACTAAAACATACAACTATACATTTAAAATAATATTTAAAAAAGAAACGGCCCGTGTTCACCAGTGCAACGTATATAACCTGTATCTACATTACTTTTACTTTGAAGTAACATATTATTTATGACTATTTTATATTGACAAATTCAAATTTGATCTCACGTTTATGTTCAATCAAAAGTTGTTATTACTACTACACTGAACATTAAATTGAGGATCTCGGATACGATTGGCGGGGGCTAAAGATTAGTGCTTGGCGCAACCTGTTATCTAATGGTCATAGTAGATAATAATATATTTTTATAAAACCTTTCCTTCTTTTCCAAATATCAAATAATAAAAAACATAACATAACATAAACACTCACGCCTGTCACCCAGAGGGGTAGGCAGAGACTACAGACTTCCATTTGGCACGATCCTGACACACCTCTCTCGCCTCCATCACATCCATATACCTACGTATACATGCTCGTCGGTTAAGGGTACTCCTAATTTGGCCCATTTTTAATAAATCGGTAATTTGGTCGATAAATTTTCGTCTAAGGCGTCCCTTACCGACTCTGCCATTCACTTCTGCAACATAAATTTTCTTTGTCACTCTTTCCTCATTCATTCTTTCCACATGACCAAACCACCGAAGCATTCCTAAAAATAATAATAAATAAAAACTCTAAGTAATATAATCTTTTTTTTTATTTACATTACCTTATTGAACCTGTATATAAATATTATATAAGGTTGCATAGTTTTATTACGCTATTTACAAATTACATTTATTTCGCTCTTTCTTTAGTTAAATTAACCTAAAAGAGAAGCTACGACAGCTGAGGGGATCGCTCCTCCTGGGCCTTGCTGGATCTGAGGTTGAAAGCCATTTTCATCAGCAGTGTAGGTAACGATATACGTCACGCCATCAGGACCGACCCAACCGTACTGCCCTTGAACTGACATGGCTTCATCATCAGTTCCTTGGTTCTTAAGTTGTCCTTGTTCTTCGTGTTTACTTCCATCTGATAACTCCCACCTGTAACGAGATTAATATAAAAAAAAAAAACGAAAAGTTTTCTTTTTGATAACGCATAAAGTCCACTTACGCGAAGCTATATGAATCCAGGCCATTATTGGTGTCATAACGGACGATCTGGACGTCTTGTGGATTTTGGGGTGCAGCAGTGACTGCAGCTATTACTGCGAGTATTACGAACTGAAATAAAAGATGCATGTTAAATAAAGTTACGTTGGGATATATAAACGTATACACAATATAGTAAGATAAAATATGTTGAATATATTCTTATAAATAAAATAAATACAATAAATAAATAAAAACCTAACCAGGCGTAGAGACCAAAAGACTTAGGGTTAGGGGAAAGAAAAAGATAAGAATCGGCAGAAAAAAAAAAGAATCAGTGGATGATGGGGGAGGTATCTTCTGCATTTGAGTGCAAGTGTGTCGCCACGAAGGCTCAGGCTCGTCAGATGACTCTAGAGGCTGTATGGAATTAACCCGTTCACAATAACGTCAACAGAAATAATTTCAGTTAGCAGATTGGCACATGGCAGTCATCACACACACATTTTGTATTCTTATTTTTATTCTTATTATTATTACTGTTAATTTATCGTTACTGACCAGTTTCATTTTGTTTATTGTTAGTACACAACGACTGCACTCTCCAAAGATTACTTGGTGTGTGGGATGGTTACGCATCCAATCCGTCCGCCTTATATATGTATGTATTTCTTATATTACCAGGTTGCAACACAGCCGCATAGTTGAGTTGGCGCTTCTTGTTGTTAGTAAAGAACATATCAAACATCTGTCGTTGAAGAAGTTATTGTGTATGTAAGGTATTCGTATTTGTAAGGGTACGAACGCACACATGATGTGACGGTTAACAATCAACGTGACCTATGCATTTAGCTTAAGAAATTCATAAAGTTCAATGCTTATAAACATTACATAACTTAATCAATTATTTCTAGCAAAGGAAATAAGTAGCATGGTTTAAGTTAACTAATTACTTGATTGATTTTTAATTTGTAACGTATTGTTTATAATTGTAAGTAAGAGGCGTAGTTTACCACCATTATTCTATATGTATTTTTTTGGTCAATTTTCTTACGCGGAAGTTGTTCAATTCGTAGATTCTAGATGATTAAATATATTCGTGGGAAATACCTAAAAATTCTCGTAGCTACAGATATCAATAGCAATGGCGATTTAACCATCTCATAAACGCAGATTCAAAATATTCTGAAGCCTCGATATAGGATAGTGTATAGTGAATAAATTTACAACACTACTACACGGTACATATCGTAGTATCCGTCAACCATAGCTCGATTTGTCTTTTGCTCCAATAGTCTACTAGAATTGACTGACTCGTATCTCCTATATCTCATTATAAAAAAACAGCGGTTGTCAACCTGACTGCTAACATTTTTTTTTATAGGAAAAGGGTGACAAACGAGCACACAGTTCACCCGATGGGTAAGTGGTTGCTGTGGCCTATATACATCTACATCTATCCTCGTTTGAGAATAAAAATGCAGATGCGTTGTCAGCCTTGAGGACTAAGACGGAATGCCTCTTTTTCGGTAAAGAGGGTCTGCGATTCTCGACACTCACTATACGAAACACAGCAGCATTAAGCTGCTATTTGCGCTGGCATACTGTGAGAGCGTGGTCTTTCCCCGGTCGAGCTGACCCATTCGTGCTAATACTTAACTATACAATTAATATAGCTGCAGCGTGGCTCTACCACGTAAGAAACATTAGAAACTATAGCAGTATCCTCCCTATGAGTCTATTTAAGGGAGAGTCTTTGTTGAGTATTGGCCTTTGTATAGGCTGTAGTGACCGAGTGGATAAATAAACATAACTTCGGTAGTAAAATATGGTACAGCTACAGTATAATCAAGTTGTCCAAAACTTTTTTTGTTGTTTCTATTCTCTGATAATACTTTTATGTTTATTTTATTTGTGCTAATGATAATGGTGTTTTAAGATTCGATTTACATAACCGTGATATTTAGCGTCGGAAGGCACATTTTCTTTTGCTATGTTCATTTAGGTTGGACAAAATATTGCTAAGTTGTTATCAGGAATATGCCGCTGCACATATTCCATTTCACCCCACTCTCCGTCGTCTCTTATGACACTCACGGGATGATATAGAGTAGTGGATTATCTGTGCCGTTACTGCACGGCAAACATTTATCAAAAAACATACCTATAGTTTGTGAAAAAAAAAATCAAATTATTATTTGCAATCAATATTATCTTAGCAACAACACTAAAGTTAATAAAATGCAATAAACTATCGCAAATTGTAGTATAACTTATAGTATAAATTATTATATTTAAGAATATTGTGGTACTTGCAACAGTCAGTAAGGTTAAGAGAACGTCAATCAGTTCTAGCGAACTCCTCGGCCTTTAACATTTTCAAGTGAACGATGTTATTAAATAGATGATACTGTTGCATTTTGCGACGGTAAAAATCATTATTAAATACGTTATGACACGGCCTACGAGTATGTTTTATCAAAAACGTGGTGAATTTAACAAACCGCAATTCACTGTAGATAATTTCATAGAAATACCCAAGGTTTTACAGTTCGCACTTAATTATTTTATGTGCAATTGGTTTTAGATATTGTAATCTCGAAAAAATAGACGCATTTATGAAATTTTATTAAAGTAAATTAAGATACCTACTTGTTTGCAGCCAATAAGCAAGAAATACATTTACTTAGTTGTATGTAAACTTAATTAACAATCATGTTGCCTCGTTGTTAGAATTAAGGACTGGTATTAAGGATTAATGTGGGTTTCAGTATGATTCAAAATATATATAAGCTAAATTTAAATATCTTTGTATATTTTTTTTATTATTCATTTGTTACTTTTGGAGGTCTTCGCATTTATTCGATTTTCAGTTAAAAATCAGTACGGTTATAGTGCAAAATTCAAATGAAATTCTAATATATATTTCATTAGATCGATTCGAGGGAGTTTCCATAAGCATTTTCCATTATTCTAAAGTGCGAAGTGTTCATAATTGCGAAAAATACTGGCCTTAAGACGAGTAGTGGGAAGGTCAAATCTTTGAACAAATACTCGCCTGGAGTAGGTTTAAAAAAACTTTGCCAAGTAATGGACTTAAAAGGCTAATGATAGTGATGATGGTAATTGTAATATTTAGGTAATGATTATGTGTGTCATGGCCGATATTATAGTGTCTCGAATACAAAGACATATTGGGTGTGAGGCATAAAGTGTGCGCTTACTAAACTATGCGGTAATAGCAGAAAACCACAGAATTGCTCAACTTATAGATGTTGGTTAATATCTATATTCTTTTACGAGAGAATAATAGTTTTGTATTGCCACTATTTTAAGCCGGTGTTAAATGAAATAAATATTATATAAACGCACACAGCCCACCTGTTTATAAGTGGAGGTTGTGATTCATAGGCACAACTTACACCTATTATTATATATAAGAAAATAATTAAGCAAATACGTTGTCACCTCTGAGGGGCCGTTCATTAATCACGTGAGGCTTGAAGGGGGGGGGGGGAAGGGGAGAGGGTTTGACAAAAATGACGAAATTTCACAAAGGAGGGGATGTAGTAAGATTATCACGTGTATAAATTTTTTCGTCAAACGCGCGATTTCCGAACTGAAAAGCGGCGTGTAATGTGACCTTTATTCGCCTGTACTTGTAAATTCATGTCACGCGTGAACCTAATCCGAGCAATAATAGTCTAGAGGTGCACAATGTTCGTCCTTCACGCATCCTCACGCGACGATCATTCGGGACGCGAGATTCTCTGTGTAGTGCGCGAAAATGATGACGCCGAGTGGCTTGACAAAACCGACGCTGATCTTCAACAAAGCACAGTGCCAACAACTGACTCGCAAGATGCTTATCCAGCTGTTAGTGCTAAAGAAAGTCTTGCTAATCCGTGTTTCGAGGACAATGTACATTAAATATGTTCATGTACTAGTACAATATATGTATTTCGCATGATTATACCATTTCTTTAATATTATTTTATGCCAGTCAAAAAAAACCTGCAACCTTTCTGTCTAGACATTTTTATCATGGTCCTTAATTTCATAATAAAACTAGATTATACTATATAGGTATTAAGAGAAGCACGTAATTTTGGGTGGTGGTGGTGGGGGGGGGATTTAATTTGGGGGGGGGGTAGTCTTAAAATGCTAAAAAAACATCACGTGATTAATGGACGCCCCCTTAAGGATTAATATGGAAAGCCCCGTTACCAGTAATAAGGTTCCTAGCTCCTCGTTACTCACCTTACTAAACACACATTTATAATGCTGCTATTTTAGGCTGATATTTTGTGTGAGCTTAGACATGTGTCCATCATGAATGATTCGTTCATTTGAGCTGGTACACTTAAAATTATTAATGGTTCATTCATGTGTTTTTGAATGTTCTGTTACAACCAATTACAAAAAATTGATGGAACCTTTTGAACTCGTGATTGGTGTGAATTGTGAATGAGTTGAAAGCTGACCGAATCCCGAATGATCTGATAGAATCGTTTTTAGTGTAGCTTAGTGGAACCCGAAATGATCCACTTGAATGATCGATCCGAAATTACCGGTACGCGTGACACGTACTAGAATGATTAGGTTACGAAATTATTGATTGATTGATTCTAGTGGTGGTAAGCGCGACTGCTAATCATGAGGTCCTGGATTAAAAAATTAGTAATTGGGCTTTTCTGTCAAGAAATTCCGAGTAATCCAACTTACCGCCAACGGTGTTACATCGCCATGACTCAGAAAGCACGTAAAGCTGTTGGTCGTGTCGATTTACCGTCTCTTCAGACTAAGAGAGTAAGAGAGTAGAGAGTACACCTATATTTGCGCACATTCTCGTGTACTATTATAACCCACCCTATCTTACACAAAAGGCATTTGTTGAGACAATAAACGGTTACCGAAATTTGGTACGAAGGTCATTGTCATGTCATCATATTGTTCATCATATTTAGTTTCCTGTGTCAGCACCTCTAAACCTGTGGAGGGCAATTTTACATGTTGATTAACAACGTGCTTGGGCTGGAAACAGGGATGATCTTAGAGGGAACCTGCAGTTGCAGTCCAAAAGACACCCTGCTTTTGTTTAAGATTTAGATTTAATCAATCGTTATTTATTTACTCAGTTATTGTGAGCTGAATTAAGCGAAGCCGAGGTAGCTCAAAGACTGAAAATTCACCTGAAATTTTAGTTTTCGAGTTCGATCCTCGACGGTTTTACTTAAATTATTAATCGTAATTTTAAGTTTAATCCCTCAAGAAACATGTATGGGTATGGCTACAAATAATTTATATGTTTTATTGCTCGGTTTTTTTTAATTACATTTATATACAAATTACATGAATAATAGTTTTTGATCTTATTGACATAATAGAAGAAACTGAACTGGTTATTTGAATAAAAAATCATGAGTGCAATTAGTTTAATTAAAATATTCGTATTTTTAAAAATATAAAGGCTCGAAATAATAGATTTTCTCACAAAAGAAGGGAACTTGAAAAAAAAAGGAAAAAAGTCGGACCCAAGACGGCACGCGAACCACGGAACTCCGATATCACGCCCGAACAAAATCCCATCTGAGCTATTACGATCGTTGGGAACCTGTCGAAATTTACCTTCTTATATTGTAGCAGTTTTTTTATTGCCTGAAAACACGGACAAAAGGACAGTTTCTAAAAATAAATCCTAGCTAGATCGATTTATTGCCCCCGAAACTCCCTGGACACTAAATTTTATGAAAATCGTTGGAGCCGTTTCCGAGATCCCGATATATATATATATATATATATATATATATATATATATAGTTTCTTTTTTGTTATTTTAAACTGGGCGGTACTTACAGAGATAACACAATATAAATATAAGTAGAAAATAATATATATAAATACGATATATACATACACATTTTGTAGAATATATGTATGTATATATTGCCTTCAAATATATGTTTTAGTGTCTGCAGCCAACCGGTAAGTTACGTCAGAGAGTATTGAACCGATGCGATGTTGACCCTCGACACCCGTATTCACTTTCCTTACAAGAAATGTTTTTTAGGCCAATCTGCATCAATATTACGATACCGCTTAAACATAATTTCTTTGTAAAATTAGTCGTACAAGGTCGAGTGATATAATATTTCATCTCATTGCGATGCCATCGACTTTAGTCATTACGTAATGATATTTTAGTCGTTTTGTACTAACTTATTTACCTGGGTTTGAAAGTCAAGTTCTTACTCCACACGAGAGCTATTTTAATATTTGAAATTATATTGTTAATTAGTTTCTTTTTATATTTGAGTGTTTATATTTTGTCTTTGTAAAGCGATGTACTTGTAATGCGCTAAAATAATGATAGTGATATAGTTAAGGTGTATTCATAATTTTAACAAGTTCAAATGTATCACAGCGTTTATAGCGATAGATTTAATCTTTCATAATAAGAAGAGATCAATAAAGTTAATGTATTAACACAATTACAAATGGGGTGGGTATAGAAAAACATATTATAATTATTACGAATTTATTTCATCAGTCTTATAATAGTTGTTGAAGAGTATGTTTACCTAGGGCGAATAGTTTACTAGGTAAGTTTAACTTCGACCGAAAGGTCAATCGACGGATTCATCTCGGCTGCGCAGCGTTCGGGAGATTACGACACATTTTCTCAAAACTTGATAACAAGATTGTACAATCAGTGCGTGTTGCAGTAGTGATGAGTTATGGATTTGATACGTGCTCTTTCACTGCTGGTCGTATGAGGAAGCTCAAAGACGCTCAGCGAGTTAGAGTTGGGGCTTTTTTTTTAGATGTTTGGGCTTTCTCTGCATGATAAACTTAGAAATGAGGATATCCGCAATAGAACCAAAGTTACCGACATAGTCCAACGGATTATAGTCCACAGCCATATATGATTAGTAAGCTAAAGTGACAATGGGCCGGCTATATAGTTCAAAGACCCGACAACGGATGGGAAAAATGGTTGTCGAGTGGCAGCCTTGTACCGGTAGGCAAAGTTTGTAAGGCTACTAGATGAAGTGACGACCTAGTAAGGCATACAAGAAGTCAATGGATGCAGGTCGCTCAGGGCCGTACTTTATGACATTTCTTGGGGAAGACCTATGTTTAGCAGTGGACTTGTGAAGGACTGTAATTATGATGATGAAATAATAATAGTATTGGCCAATACTATTATTATTTCTATTCAACTGGGACTCTCTATTCAACTGGGACGAACTGGGACTTTCGGACATTGGAATGTGAGCGGATTAGGCATCATAATTTCTTAGTATAGTAGCCATGGCTTGGTCACCTACGGTGAGCTAAAAGAAACTCACACCCTTCGTCCGAAGTGAAGAGCTGGTCCTAGGAGAGTAGAACTTCGCAAGCCCTTTTCCAAGGCTGCCGCTCAATAAAAAAAGTGTCGATATTACTGTGTTCACTTTCTCCTAAATCTCCACGGTTCAGACATAACCTGTGGTGGAAACCTATCTGCTGCGAAGGGTGGGATGAGTTGTTCTCACTGGAGCAGTGGCCGCTGAGAAGCGGCTGGCGCTGGGGAGGCCGCGGTTATGTGCAAAAGCTTTTCCTTTGCCCTAGAAAATCTTGCAAAAGTCGTGACCAGGTGCAGAAAAAGAAATTGTTAATGAATGTAAAATGATTTTGAATAGTTTAACAATTTCAAATAAATTTTAAACGTTACGATGTTTAAATGTCTTAAAATAATTTTATTGCAGTTTTAAAGTAAAATGTAATAAACTTAACCACTAATTAAACTTTGCTTTGTTAAATTATTCGTCTGTCATTAAATCTAATATTTTGCTCATCAATTTCTGGTTGAAATCCGTTGGTATCTGCTATATATCTGACAATGTGATTTCGCCCTGAAGGATCCAAATAACCGTATTCTCCACGAACGATGAGACCATTATTTCCTTTAGTTCTTAAAAAGCCACCCTCTTCTTTTCTGTATGTGCCATCTGAAGTTTTGAATCTTAAACAAGAAAGGTTTTTACTTAATTTGTATAATATTGATTGTAAAGATTTTAAGCTTATTTGTTAGGTATATCATATTAGTCCATAAATCGCTTACACTGACGCTGAGCTTCGTAGTGTATACTGTATAGCGAGTATGGAAGCTAACAGATTAAAGCTGTGAATGAAAAGTTACTAAAGCTTTACGTAGCTTATGTTGGGATAAATCGCGCGTACACACATACCCAAAAAATACAGTGTTTGCGATGATACATGAAGTGACAATTATTATTTGTCCTTTAAGTGCCCTTCAAGTCAAAAAAGTTTACACTGTTTGTTGATTTGTTTTCAAGCATATTATTTTCATTAATATCAACATCATTACAGCCCTTCACAAGTGAGCATAGGCCTCCCCCAAGGAATGCCACAAAGCACGGTCCTGAGCCACCTGCAGCCATCGACTTCCTACATGTCTTACCAGGCCGTCACTGCATTTAGATGTGAGTCGCCCTATAATATACCTACCGGTACGAGGATGCCACTCGAGAACCTTTTTTCCCCACCCGTTGTCGGTTCAGCGTGTTATTTGGCCGGCCCATTGCCACATCAGTTTGCTAATTGGGCTGTTGGGCTATGTCAGTCACTCTGGTTCTACTGCGGATAAGCATTGCCCTCTCCATAGTTCGCTGAGCGACTGAGCGATTGAGCGTCTTCATACGGCCAGTAGTGAAGAGCCACGTCTGACGTCTAACCAGTAGGTCATCAGTGGTAACATGCACTGGTTGTACAATCTCGTTTTTTTGGTTTTGGGGTATACGATCGTACTTTCCCGAATGCTGCCCAGCCGAGTTGAATCCGTCGCCTAACCTCTTGGTTGAAGTTGGACCTAGTCGAATTATTTGCTCCAGGTAAACATACTCGTCAACAACTTCGATCTTAGTGTTTCCAACAACTAGCGGCATAGGTGTGACATTCACTTTACTTATGATCTTTGTTTTGTCCATGTTAATCTGAAAGCCTATCCGTTGGGAGACGCTATTGAGGTCATTGAGCATAGTGCTTAGGTCTTCCAGCGATTATGCCATAAGGACTATATCGTCAGCAATTCGAAGGTGAGTACTCATCATTGATGTTAATACTGTATCATTTCCAGTCCAGTAGCTTGAGAACGTCTTCCAATGCAACACTGAAGAATTTCGGAGATATAACGTTACCCTGTATTACACCTCCCTGCAGTTGGATAGGTTTCGTACTCTAGTTCTGTACTCGGATAGCCATCGTAGCCCTACTGTTCAAATACTCCAGGACTTCGATATACCGACAGTCAAATTGATACTGCTGAAGGGATAATAACAAATATCGTTGGAATCAAAGGCTTTCTCATAGTACACATATGCAAGGCAAAGTGGCAGATTTTACTCTTCGATCTTCTGTACAATTTGCCAATGTGTATTTATGTGGTCTTTGGTACTTTACCGCTTTTGGCAATGGGCTTGTTGTTCAGGAGGGTGGAAATCGTCCAGTCTGCGTGCGAAACGATTCGTAATGACTTTCGAAAACAGCACGTAGACGTGGCCCAGAAGATATATTGGTGTGTAGTTCTTGAAGCGAGTGTTTTCGCCTTTCTTCAAGAACAAGACCACCTCACTTCTGCTCGAAGCCTCCACAATAGTTCCACTATGGAGAACAGAATTAAAGAGCTTCTGAAGGACTTCAAGTACTGATTTTCCAACCGTTTTCAGGAGCTCCGCTATAATTCCATCCACGCCTGGGGCCTTGCCTTTTTTAAGGTGCTGGAGAGCCATTCTCATCTCCCTCAGAATGACGTCTGGAATATCATCGGAATAGAGTCTGATAAGACTTGCTCTTTACAATTTTTTTACAATTTTTTTTATAGGATAGGGTGACAATCGAGCACACAGTCCACCTGATGGTAAGTGGTTGGTGTGGGCCATAGAAATCCCAGGTGTCCTGGAAACAATGCTGCCACACTCGGTTCTTCAGCTTTGACAGTTGCTCTTTCTGGCAGACAGATCTCTGGCAAAGACTTTGGAGCCTTAGTTCCGCTCGATTGTTTCTTCAATACGAGCCGTACTAAAGTTGCGTAAGTCCCGTCGCATGCATTTAGATATATGTCTGTTCAATTCCCTTTATGCTGGGAAAGCTGACAAAGACTGCAGCTTCATTTCTCAGTAATCGGACAGTTTTTGTGTTCTTCTGCGGCGGGTCTTGCAGAACTTAGCTCCGACCGCATGGACAGTTTCCACTAGCTTATCATTCATTTCGCCCACTGCATTACAGCCTTCTAGGCGCTGAAAACGGGTTTGTAACTCAAGGTTTCGGGACTTAGGATTAGAGCACGAGAAAGATGGAGTGTTGACTTCACTAGGCGAGACCTCTCCAACTCAACGTTTAGGTTCAGTGTGCCTTTAACCATGCCACCTCGATCGTGATCGCTGTGACATCACTGAATAGTTGTCGTCTGGTCGTCATAATAAAGTAAATCTCATTTTTTGTTAAACCGTCGGGGCTCGACCATGCTCACTTCCTGTGGGCCGCTTCTGGTAGAAAGAGTTCATCATAAAGATTCTCTCTTTCTCCATGAAGTCGGACAGCTCCTGGCCCCTTGGGTTTCGTTAACCTATTCTGAATTCCCCATTTTCAGCTCGCCGTTCTCTCTTGTGCCTCGTTTTGCGTTGAAGTTTTCCAATAATACTGTATAGTGGGTTGTGGAGGAATGCATAGCTTTGAAGATATCCTCATACATTTCCTCCACCTCCTCATTGGCATGTGCCGAGGTTGGTGCGTAAATCTATATGACCTTCAACGAATACCGTTTGGTGATTCTGAGTATAAGGTACGCAACCCTCGTTGACACACTCACAATCTTTACAACGTTGTCAACGATAGACTGGTGGACAATAAATCCGACACCTTGGGATTCAAGTTAGTACATAGTCCCTAATAACTGTTATAAAATTTAAATCATGAATCTATTACATCCTATTATCAAATCTTTGGTCTATTATCATCAATTACATCCTAATATCGGATTTTGGCCAATCATTGGCCTATATTAATGATAAAAACTTTGCCATATATAATAAAAATTTAAAAGGTAGATAATAATATAAGATGTAGATTACTTACTCAAAACTATATGTGCCCAATCCATTATTGCTATACGCATACTTTACTATTTGATTAGTACTGCCTAGCACTTTAGGTAAGTTTTCCATAGTTACAAATAATACAGCCACGATGAGGCAGATGTGTCCACCTTTAGCCTGCGCAACAGACACAACATATGTCAAGGCTAACAGCTCATCTAACAAGTCTCACTTTACTGGAATTTTAATAATAATAGATATTAAATTGATAGCAACTTGAATACACTTGTTATGCAAGTTGTTTGAACTTTTTGTATTTTACAAATTTATTATTTTATAATTATGTATTTGTATAATCAATTTGCGAAAATATATAATGTTCATTTGAATATAGAAAAGTGTTGGATAAAACTACTTCTACGGATTTTATCGCGTTTAATTTAATTGATTGTAATTTCTTTTTATTTTAGATTTTATCTTTTTATTTACTTAAGATCATTTCCTATAGATCTTAATTACTGATTTTATTTACTATGGATTTTATTTTTCCTTAAAACTAAATCCATGCACACAGCTGAAAAACTTCAAGAGACAGTAAGTTCATTCTGTGTAGATCGGACCGGAATAATTAAAAGCTGAAGGTACTCCAGGTTAACACCGACAATAGGACGTCAATCACCTCAGTCCCCCGTGATCATAGATGCTGGAAAGCACCCAAAACGTCGGGATTTAAAATCAATTCAATTAAACGCAATAAAATCTGTAAAAGTAGTTTTATTCAATGCGTAGGGTTCGCGTTAATATAAGAAATCATTAAAAGAAAGTGGGTCAAAAAACAGTCTCTCAATCAAATAAAATCAACCAAAATTTTTTTGTTGTTATTTTGAGACTTTTATCGTAAAAGGGTATGTAATTGTACCCCTTAAATTACCCTTAAACTATAAAACAAACAAAATTGCATTTTATATTGACTGAGAGAGATAGTCATTGATATTTTTCATGTCAAAAATAGCTATAAAATAAAATGCACCCATGTCATATTTGTATATTACTGCCTCGTTGGTGTAGGTGTTAACGCGATTCCTGATTATGAGATCCCGGGTTCGATTCCTGGGTCGAGCCAAAATGAGTTGTTGGGTTTTTCTGTCAAGAATTTTTTCAGCAGTCCGTACTAAAGAAGTTAGCGCTGTTTCAACCCCCTATTTTGGAAAACACGTAGATAAGGCCTGCTTTCCTGTCCTGCGCTTAATATATTTGCGGTCGTGTCGGATTGCCGATCCAACGGACTAAGTGGGAAAATAAAGAGTGCACCTGTGTTTGCTACACTCGGGCTCAATAATCCTGTCCTGCGCAGATGATTAGACTCTATAGATATTTGACTCATTGGTCAATCTTCTTTTAAAGAAAATGGGTAACAAACGAGCACACAGCCGACCTGATGGTAAGTGAATGCTGTGGTCCATAGAAATCTACATTTTTATCCTCATTTAAGAAATGAAATGGAAATGCGTTTCCAGTAAAAGGGTCTCCGGTTCTATACACTCACCATACGAAACACAGTAGCATTAAGCTGCTATTTTACGCTGGTATTCCTAAACCTGTCGAACCGTCCCATTCGTGCTACAAACATAATATAGTTGCAGCGTGGCCTGACTACGTTCGAAATATACAAAACATACAAAATTTGACGACCTCAAAGTTGAAAAACTTGTTTGTAAAAATTAGAAAAACAAAGTTCGTATAGAAAGGGTACCTATTAATAGTAATGTTTTACATGATATTGAAATATAATTAAATAATATAATAAATTCTTATATCGTACTTTGTTCATATTGTAAAATATTAGGATTTAGATGGTAGAGACCGCATTCTAATTCAGAAATCATTTTTTGTGATTTGTTCTTTGAAAACATGTTTGACTCTATTGAACACAAAACATTATTTTGAACTGTTATTTAGCACAACATAGAGATATCAATTATGTAAAAGTCTACGTAAAATTTGACATTTACGTGACTATTTTGCTGCTTGTCATGTGTGATAACTTATTAAAAAGATTAAAAAGGTTTTTTATAAACAAAGCACAAAACCTGTAACTAATTTCAACTAATCTTATATTATTATTAAGCAAATATAGTATCCCGTCTTTGTCGATTGTAAGTCAAAAATAATGCTCTTGGATCAAACTGTGCTTTACAACATCTGCCATAACAAATTTTAGTACAGCTCACTATAAATAACACACCAATCAAATTATTGTGCGTAAATCCGTTTGCCCAGTCGTTTTCGTCATATACGTGAGCTTCAGTCACTACATCAATTATTCCCGAAAACTAATTAAAACAGTCGCAAATGCCCATGCAGCGTTAAATCGTTTTATTTAATTATTCAACTTTCAATTAAAAAAGGCTGTGTGTGAGTTTTTATATAGATACAAAATACCTTATTTTTTTATTTACTATACGTGATGATACGTATAACGTTCGTGACTCTTGTATAAACAACGGTATATCTATGGTTTAAGAACTTTATTCTCATTAAGAATACAAAAATTCACTTATCATGAGAACATAAAAATTTATAAGTTATAAAAATATCTGGAGAAACGCAGAAGTTGGGGGTACATTACAAATACAGTTAAAAAGAGTCTCAGTCAGTTTATAATTTTAAGTTTCTCGGATTATTTACTTAGGTACCACATATTAGGTTTAATTCTATACATTGGTATAATAAGTAATTGCATAATGTAATCTTATCACAGTATATAAAATATTAATATACAAAAGATTAATAATCATACATCCATCGCTGTTATCTACAATGTACTATGGGGTCTGCATTTTAAGTAGCATGAAATTTTATTTTTATATTCTAAAGATCGTTCAATTGAACAAATGTAGAGAAAATAAAACATAAGCAAAATTAACAAGCAGTGACTTTGAATGAGAATATAGCTATGAGATATCTTAATATATACATAAATTATTAAACCGATTTTAATCAAATTTACACACCGTGTGCAGTTTGGTCTAACTTGAGAGATAGGATAGTTTTTTTTTGCCCATGAGTGACCCACAATATTTTTTTATGAATTTAAAAGATTTTTAATAGGACATGATATGGTCATCAAAAAAGGGCAGAACAACGTCTGCCTGGCAAGCTTATATATATAAATATATATATATATAAATATAATAATACAGTGTGATTTGTAAGAAAACTAAATAACGTACATACAATACATCTCACCTCTTTCTTTTATATTATAGCTATTTTATATATTACATAATTTTGCTAACATATTAAATTATTAAAGAGCATGCTCAATAATATCTGCTTAACAAATTAGTATTAATATTCCGATAGGGCATGTAAGAAATACATCTCCAGGTAGATAACTTATAATAATTTTGACTTTTGTCATTGCGTTAAGAGACAGTATATAGAGGAACTTCAGAATAAATCAAAAACGTTGCATGCTTTTATGCGTTTGTACATATTAAATCCTGAAGTTATTAGTCATTTTTACAAGAGTAACAAAATTAATCATGGTTTAATATATACTTGAGACTCACCATATTCGTTAATGATTTTCTGTAGTTGATATCTAAGTGAACTGCGTTACGAGGCTGCTGTCGTCAGTTTATATCCAGTTCTTCAAGAATGTCAAGTCTGGACTTCATTCCTTAGTTAACAATGCTATTTCAAGGACTCCATCAAGTCAATGACATTAATATATAACATCTAAACGTGAAAAAATACTTCTTAACTCGATTGACGACTAAACCTAATTAATATTCTCATAACCATTAATTTATAGATCGTTATTCGTTACTGGTTTGTTATGGACAGGTGGGAAAATATAGATATCAACTTTTGCCTCGAGTCAGATACTTGATTATTTTATGCCTCAACACTGCAATTCGTAAAAATAAAATTAAAAAAAGTTATTTGTAAAGGTAATTCGAAAATCAATATAAGAGTTTATTAGTAAGCACTGAATACAAAATCAAAAGTTACATTCCCCAGATTGTACGTTTTTTTAATGCAAATTACTTTAGGGGTTATAATGTCACATATGACAAAAATTAAATCAAGACTTTGGATGTCAGCAAAGTCATGAACTGTACAGTAAATATTTATTTACCAAATTCACACACGCTTTCAGTCGTCCTGAGCATCTCGTACCAGTTTCAATGTATTTACAGAAAGGAGGAGGTAATATTGGATACACTTTCAAGGGGCAGAAAAATTGCTACTGTTTTTTTCCTATTTTATATTTTAGGTTGTTATTGTAGCCAGGAAGTTCATCTACGAAGATGTAGGCGCTAATAAGAAGAAATTTTGGACATTGGATACCAAATTATATCTTCCAGCATTACGCTGAATATGATAGATGCTTATATATGTTTGATAGTTTCTTTATGAACACCCGCATTACTTGTAAGATTTTGTCCTTGAGGTTTAACATATATCTAATAGTAAAATTGAGCTTGAGAGAGAAATTGTTGCTAATTTGTTGCTGGAACATAGTGCAAAAAAGAATACGAAAATTCTTTTATTTATTAGTATAGGTACATGCTATCTTTACAGGTGATTTTTTTGTAGAGATAACAGATATTTTGTTGCTGCTCAGTAATGGAATCAGAAAGATTTGAAGAGCATCAACAAAAAAAGTTGCACCAAGTAATAAGTTAGGTAGAAATTATATATTTTAGTTTTATATTATGAACCACTCATATTTGTAATTCACTTTGTTAATTATTTGTGGGGATTTATTGTTAGATATGTTTATATTTATTATACCTAGTCTGCTTATTAATAAAAATAAACTAAAATATAAAATGAAAGTTGACTTCAAACAACCAAAAATTCCACATATTAACTTCTCAAGTCAATGTTAGCACCTGTTTCAATGGCAATTATTGTTTCCTTATAGTTCTTTGATTTTGAATTGAATTTCTTTTTTTATTTAACAGTTTTTTATACCAACAATTCTAGTAAATAATTTAATTTGGAAGAAGTTGAATGATTATCGACTTCCGAACTTATTTCACACACGAATTTATTATAAATTCAATCATGATATTTTAAGTGCAGAAAAAGAGTACGGGACAGTGTGACATGACACCCATCTTAAACATGTTAACAGAGTGCAGACTTCCATGTTCTAACCATGTTCAAGTTCGACCTCGCCATTATTAAGATTTGATAGACCACAAATCCTCGCGAAAGAACATCGATTACTACCAAGGATGATACGTGAGGCTATTGAAAATAAAAAACATCCTAATTTCTATAGAGAAGGAGGCTGGGTACTACCACCTTATTTGGACCCTGTAATTAATAAAATTAAAACGAAATCTAAGATACCACTGCAAGACTTCAAACAGAGTAAGTTCACTCTCCATAGATCGGACCATAAACAATAATTAAAAAAGCCGAAGATACTACATGTTAACATTAACATCGGGACGTCAGTCATCTCAGTCTCTCGTGACCATGGGTGCTGGAAAGCACACGAAACGTCAGGAATTAAAAATCATTTAAAATTAAACGCGATAAAATCCGTAAAATAGTTTAAATCAATGTGTAGTGTTCGCGTTAATATAAAAAATCATTTAGTCTAGCTCTTCAATAAGAAGACCTAATGATTTACCCTACTTAAGGATAGCCTACGCAAGGCCACGTATGCTTTACCAGCGGCGAAGAGCTTCGAACCTACGTATGCATCGGCATAGTCGACAATACTACCCTACATTTTGTGTATAGTGCAACTGTGTGCCGTAACTATATTTTGCTGGAAATTGCACAGTCATGGGTTGAATGGGATGAAAACTGTCTTTACTGAAGTCTATGCAGACGGATGGTCAGACAAATTGGAGCAACGGAGTTTATGATCGTCATATTATTTTTTTAAACTCGCATTCGTATTCTCAGTGAGTCCTTTAATTTGATACAAATATTGTAGGAAAACATAAAAACCCTGGTAAATATACTAATATTAAAAGATTGTTGCACAGCTTTTGAAGTTATTTATTGACAATATATCAGCTGAAATAATTAATACCATAGTTTTCAAAGTTAAATGGATTTTTAGTAGGGGACCATTAAAGGCAGAATTGTTCACATATCCAATTATACGTCTTTTGGGTGCCGGTCCTAAGAATATATTATTAAGAGTTTTTCCTTGAACACCTGATGGAAATGTTAATACTTTTACTTCAGCTCGAGTAATTGGATATTTAGCAGTGGTAGAAGCTAAAACTTTTTGATGTGCGAGTAATACACTTGGATTAATTCGTGCTCGTCGGACAATACAAGTTGCGTCCGTAATGCAAACTTTAAACTCATTTCAACACCATTAATTAAAAAAATTCTTGGTTGAAAATGTCCCGCCAAAAACGTCCAATCATTTCTATTTCCTTACTTTCACTAACCAGTTCCCGTCTTTTATCAAATTCTATGTTTTTAGAATCGCTGAAGGACTTAAGCACTATGCTCAATGACCTCAATAGTGCCTCCCAACGGATAGGTCTTAAGATGAAAATGGACAAAACAAAGATCATGTTTAATGTCCATGTCACACCTATACCGGTAGTTGTTGGGAGCACTAAACTCGAAGTTGTTGACTAGTACGTTTACATCGGACAAATAGTCCGACTAGGTAAGTCCAACTTCGACCGAGACGTCAATCGACGGATTCAACTCGGCTGGGCAGCGTTCGGGAAATTACGACGCATCTTCTCGTCAGGTATACCTCAAAACACGAATACTAAGTTGTACAACCGGTGCGTGTTCCCAGTGATGACCTACGGAACCGAGACATGGTCCTTCACTGCTGGCCGTATGAGGACGCTCAAAGTCGCTCAGCGAGCTATGGAGAGGGCTATGCTCGGAGTTTCTCTGCATGATAAACTTAGAAATGAGGATATCCTCAGTAGAAGTAGAGTGACCGACATAGCCCAACGGTTTAGTGAGCTGAAGTGGCAATGGGCCGGCCATATAGCTCGAAGAACCGACAACCGTTGGGGAAAAAAGGTTCTCGAGTGGTAGCCTCGTACCGGTAGGCGAAGTGTAGGGCGACCCCCCACTAGATGGAGTGACGACCTGGTAAGACATGCAGGATGTAGGTGGCTCAGGACCGTGCTTTGTGGCATACCTTGGGGGAGGCCTATGTTCAACAGTGGACTTGTGAAGGGCTGTAATGATGAATGATGATGATGATGTTTTTACCATCTGTAGAATCAATTTTTTCTGCTGTGATGAGGATTCATGTCAAATACTACAAGTAAGATGAGATATTTTAGTAGTAGGAGCATAGTTTAAAAGGGTTTCCATGTATGCTCGATATGCATAGGGGTGGTGATACAAGTTATTGATTTAAGTAAATATCAAGTTGACTAAAAAGTGAATGCAGCCAATTTTTATAGCCTATATCAAGTTCGTTGAATCTTAATTTAACAATTTTTCCTATGTGGAGTAATGTAGACAAATCTATGTAGTCATCGCCTGTCCCAGGAACTTGAAACTCGATAGGTCCATCATCAGCAAGAGACGAAATTGGTTTGTAGTGAATCCACAATCCATTTTCAATGTTTTTTTGCGTAGACAGTAGTGCAAACAAATCCAATTCTGACTTAACGCACTCACAAGAATGATTATGAAAGAAAGACATATTTAAATTGAAAATATATCTTTGATATTTTTTGTTTTTAGACCAAGTTTTTTTGCAGCTTTCACTTTAGCAGTTAATGGTAGAATGAACGAGGGCAATCGTTTTCTTTTAGCTATATACCCAGATCCTGTCATGATAAATTTATCAATTTTGTCATCAGCCTTTCGTTTTTAATTCGCACTAACTAGCTTTAGACGATCTTTTACTGAGGTTTCCATAAGACGTGCTTGAACCATATCCGATAAAAGTCCCACTCCAGCGCTTAACGCCTCCTTGCCAATCACTCGAGCACCACTTGAAATTAAAGGTGAAACTGATCTAAATAACCCGTCGAAGATATTCCCAATACAATGACCGAGTTGGTACGGTGAACCCTTATAAATTACTCCAACTCCTGATCCAGATTGATGTGTATAATAATTTTCAAATAGACATTTATGATGATCACGAAGATAATTAGTTATTATAATTTTCGGAAATGTAGTTTAATACACAAGGTTCTAAACTGAAATGGTATTTTTTGTCCTGTGTTATATAATATTGTAACTATTTCCAGCGTATCGAACTCTCTTCGCATAATAGGTAAGTAGTGAGGTGGAGAGGAAACGTGCATTTTATTTGCACCATAAATGTATTTTGTAGGATCTAATGAAATGACTCTTAGTAAAGGAGTCATAACATCGCCCACAATAGGATACCTAAGGATCGATAATGTCGCAATATAGAAATAGTTGAGATGGTAACCCTAAATGTAAATTAGCAGGACATTTTCCAAAATTTCTCTTTGGGAGATTTTTATTTGTTTCATAACCTATTCGATGAACCTACGGACGTTGTATTTTTATTCAAAACAAAAACAGACAAAAATTTTGTTATTTCATCATAGCGAAGTTTGAAGTCCTCTCCGATACTATTTAACGCTCTTAAAATATGCTCAACATTATCATAGTTGGCAGCTGCTGTTCATTAGGCATTAACATGGATTTTGTAAAGTATATAACATTTTCATGAACTTGAACAGTAAACATGGTACACTGAGATCTATGAAGCTGTACAAGCCAAAAGGCTAAGAGCATTAACATCATCAGAAACCAGCCCAAAATTCGTATAGCATAGTATAGTATAGACTTCGGGTAGAGAGCAGTAGTGTTTTGCGGTCTAGTATATTCTACGTGTAAGACTATGGTATAGACTCAAGTTTTGACATTTTTAAAGTTTAAGCTCAAAGCTATAGCGAATCCAACGGAGCCACATCGTTGATGCAGGGGTGGTGGGGCTGCGGGGGGAGAGGAGTGTCGGTATTACGAGGCGCCGCTCTCCGTACCCTCCACAGCTGAATCTTTTCTGGCGGCGGAGCCATAGACCGGATCCACCGATGAGGTCAAGAAGGCTAGTGCTTCTCAGTGCTCGAATTTCCTGGCCCCGTGGCCTTCACGCATCGGACACGGGGGTGTCCGATGACCGTGACCGTGATATTGCGCAGGTGTAATTGAGGCCATGGAGGATGGCACGCTATGTGTTCTGATGCGCTTTACCTGAGAAGGAGAAGGGGAAGAAGCAGTTCTCTACCGAGCAGGTGCTGCCATGGAGCGGCCAGCGCTGGTAGGGTCGCGCATGTGTACAAAAGCGTATTCCCGTGGGCCTGCCAATATGTGACGTAGGTGTAACATCATGGGGTTAAAGTCGGTACGAGTCCCACCCGTCATAACCCGTCCTTGCCCCCGCAGGTATGCGTAGGCATTTCCCCATACAAAAACAAATACAAACCTTACTTAAATTACTAAGTTTAATACATAAAGTTAAAAACTAAAATTGCATTTTTACTACTCAAATCGAATATTTATTTTTATTCCGCTTCTTGTTGTGTGAGCTGCGAGAATATTAATTATAATTAAAATTAATTTAAAAATTAAATTTTTAGTTTTAGTTTTCCTATATATATTATAGTTTCTTTATTTTATATTGTGTATAATTAATATTAATTGTAAATATTACAATTTTAATTATTATTTTTAGGTAATTTATTTAGGATTTTAAATTACTTTAACTTTATATAATGTGATTTTCCAATAAAAACCTTTCTGCTTTTGTCTTTGTAATATTGTAAAAAAATATAATTATAAACATTCAACATAAATATCGACACATATTTTGTTGTAGTTAAGTCTAGCGTACATACTTGTAATATATTTTGATGGAAAATGTATTTATAAAATCATGCAAATTATCAATAAAGTGACTTTTTTCTTTGCAAAATGTAAAATTTAACAAAACAATTAAATATATTATACAATTTAAACCGCAAGTAAAATAAATTTTAGCCAAAAATAATCGCATCATAACAGTGAGGATGTCTTGAGAATATACCTGTGAAATGTGCAATTATTAGGATCCCTTATATTGTTCGTACCGCAATCACTCACAGAACAAGTAACCATTGCTTAAAATAATCACTGACTAAAAATAACCAGAAAAATATATAAATACTCAAAAAAAAAATCCAAAACACCTAGGAGCTAATTTTTTGCTTGCCGACTTGTGCCGTCCTGAAATTTAAAACCCAGTCACAGTACATACATACATTTGTATCTTGTGATATTGCCATAAGGCATTTTCTTCTCTTCTGCACACTATGGCGTCTTTTACTATCCTATATCTATGCTCGAAACTGTCTCCGAGAATATTTTAAAATCATTTAAAAAAAAAACAATCTAGTGGAAAAAATAAATAAGCGCTATTCTGCTGCCCCTATATTCTTATTGGTTTATGGTTAACAGTAGTAGCTGTTATACATCTTAACCACAAAAAGTCACCTTATAATCATATATAGAGCAAAGTTCAACTAAAGAATGTTGAAACCCTAAGTTTTATCGCAAAACAATGTTGCACAGAAATCGTAATAATAAGAAGTCGTATAGTCGCGTGATCTTGTTGCCGATTATGTGGGTTGACGAACATAATTCACCATTTTGTGATTTTGTTGTACGGAGAACGTCGTACGTGAATTTTTGTTATTATAAATTTATAATGGGCCACTGCACCATAATCAGTTGTAAAAACTCATCAAAGACGTGTAATTAAACTAATAAAGGCATAACATTTTATCAGTAAGTTCATAGTTTACTATGTATAAAATAATTAGATGTAAATTAATTAAAATTATTATTATTTTAATTAATTTACATCTAGATGAATACTTTACCGTGCTGCAAACCCTTCAAGGGTAACAAGTTAAAAACCTAAGTATTATAATATCATTATTTTATTTGGACATCATAGTCCAAGACGCTTGGAATAAAAATTTATAAAAAATATTTTGACAAAGTGACGGCTCAGTGGCGCACTGGCTCGGCAACGAGTGGCTGCGCTGGGGGCCGCGCGTTCGAATCCCGCACAGAACAAGTATTTGTATGACCTACAAATAGTTGTTTCGGGTCTGGATGTTAGTCCCAGTGCAATTTATGTTTGTAAACTGCCTCCACGATACAGGAGAAAGTCCTAGTGTGGGGGTAACGTTATAAAAAATTCTGGTAAAAACCACTTGAGTGTGCCTAGGCTGCCTAGTTTATTTTTATGTTGAAAAATCCCAAAATTTTCCGTCAGTTTATTTTATGACTTTTCTGAGTTCTTTCAATTAGTAACTTAGCATACAGTTTTCCCACAATGCTAAGAAGGCTAATACCACGGTAGTTTTTTCAGTTCTGCTGCAACCCTTTTCCCTTATATATTGGGACTTTCACGGCAGACCTGTCGGTATATCGAAGTGCTGAAGTGCTTGTACAGTACTCGGATAGCCATAGCAGCCCTACTATGGCTATCCTAGTACAGAAACAAAGTACAAAACTTATCCAACTGTAGACGGGTGTAAGACAGGGTGACGTTATATCCCCAAAACTCTTCACTGCTACGTTGTAAGATGTTTTCAAGCCTCTGGACTGGAAAGGATACGGTATTAACACCTATGGTAAGTACATCAATCAACGTCGATTTGACGACAATGTAGTCGTTATAGCAGAGTTGCTGGACAACCCAAGCACTATGCTCTACGACCTAAGTATTGCCTACCAACGGATAAGTCTTAAGATGAACATAAACAAAACAAAGATCCACGTCGGTAGTTGTTGGGAGCACTAAGCTCGAAATTGTTGACGAGTATGTTTATTTGGGACAGATAGTACAACTAGGTGAGTCCCATTTCAACCGAGAGGTCAATCGACTGATTCAACACGGCTGGGCAGCGTTCGGGAGATTACGATAAATCTTCTCGTCAGGTATACCTCTAAAACTTGAAAATGAGATTGTATAACAATTGCGTGCTGCCAGTGATGACATGAATCCGAGACTTGGTCCGTCATTGCTGTCCGTATGTCCGTTGCTCCGCGAGCTATGGAGAGGGCTATTTTCAGTTTTTCTGTGTGATAAATTAAGAAATGACAATATCCACAGTAGAATCAGAGTGACTGAAAAAGCCCAACGGATTAGTAAGCTGAAGTGGCAATAGGCCGGACATATATCTCGGTCCAGAGAAATGATAGGAAAAAAAGGTTCTTGAGTGGCAGCCTCGTACCGGTAGACGGAGTGTAGGGTAACCCCCCAATTGATGGAGTGACGACTTGGTAAGACATGTAGGTGGCTGAGGACCGAGCTCTGTGGCATTCCTTGGGGAAGTCTTATTATCAGCAGTGGACATGTGTAGGGTTGTAATGATGTTGATAATTAAGATATTAAACATAGAGGTTAGAGAACAGGAGAACGATCGCTACGTACTATAGCATAGCCAGCCTGTCCCTGAAAATTTGTAGAATTTATAGCCGCCCTGCCGTCGGTAAGTAGTGTCGGCGAAATAGTTTTTTAATTTCTGACAAAAAAACATTAAAAATTGGTGAAATATAAAAAAATAATAATAAAAATAAATCAATAATAATTAATAATTTATATTTGTAATAATTTACGATATTTATAATAGTTAAAATTATCGAAACAATTTATCGATCGCAGCGCCTCACTTATATTGTCCATATTTCTGGGACACTATTTTATACAGCGATCGTTCTCCTCCTCCATGTTCTGTTCTCTAACCTCCATGTTATTACAGCGAAATGACATTTGTAATGGTGGATACAAAGATAAGTATATACAGGAAAGAGAGTCCTCTGACAACATTTTATTGCTGATAAAATTGAAGTAGTAGCGCCTCCTACAAATTGAATCCGAACTATATAATTCGCTTAATATATTATGTAGTCTTTAAAATATTAAGTTTTTTAATTTGTATACTTACTGAAACAGTTTTTGCCTACTTTTTGTAATACTATTTTAAACTATTAATATTATTAAAAGTAGGTAAAAACGTTTCAATAAGTACGCTTGTATTTATATAAAAATAGGGTTATTAACGTAATGAAACAAGAATGACAATAAATTGTCCTAAAGGAAGACAATTATTTCATTTTTATTATAATATTATGCTGGTTAATCACCACTAAATTTTTTGTGCATTTATTATTATTTTGTAAGTAAATTTTGATTTATTTTTAAAGGTAGTGACATCTGTGAAGCCATAAGACCAACTATAAACATATTTTTTTTGAAAACAAATTACGGATGGCGCCTTCAATTGAAAATTTGACGTCCGAGGAAACTGTCGTACTCCTGGATGTATAAATGTGTATGTTTTTGTCCAAAATTTGTACTTTTCTGATGCGTTGTATCTATTCATTTTCCGAGCAATGATGCGACGACACTCCCGGGTACTCCTGCAGCCACCGTCTGAACCTAAAATTATACAAATTTTATATACTCATTAAATACTTTTTTGGCATAGACTTATTATACTACTGTGTATTAAAAACAATATACATATAAATAGAAGTAGTTGTACAATATGCCAAAAAATTTAATTAAATTGCTGATTGGTCCTCGAAGATGTAAACGTTCCCCGACTGCATAATCTGGCACATTTTTTTATTCTTATAGAATAAGGGTTGCAAACGAGTACACAGTCCACTTGATGATAAGTGGATGCCGTGAACAATATAAATCGTGTATTTTATGCGTTGTTGCAACTGAGGATCAAGATAGGATGCCTCGTTTCAAGAAAAAAGGGTCTCCGATTCTCTACACTCACCACGCACTACGCGGCAAACGTTTCGATACCATCCACACCATCTGGATGCTTGGCGGTCCACCACTGTACGTTTCAAAAGGGGTTTTCTTCCGCGTGCAACTTCTCCGTGGAATAGTTTACCAACGGCGATTTTTCCGGACCGATACGACCTGGGGAAGGTCGAGCAAGATCGAATCAAGAAATCAAGAAAGCGAGCCAGGTCGAATCAAGAAAAGAGCTTACTCCTTTCTAAAGGGCCGGCAACGCACCTGCATTCCCCTGGTGTTGCGGTTGATCATGGGCGGCGGTAGTCACTTAACATCAGGTGAGCCGCATGCTCGTTTGCCCCCTCTTCTATAAATAAACTATACAAAACACAGTAGCATTAAGCACCTACTGTAACTCACATTTCTCTCACTCACAAGTCAAAATTGGTCGGTAACGCACGCAGTGTGTTAACTAAATTGCTCGCTATGGTACTCGAAAATTTAGTATGTTCTTCGACCGTATAATCGGATACATAATGATTTCCCAAGATAAATCGTTAAATGATATCCCATGTCTATTTTGTGAAAGTGGAAATTTCTACCGCGAGAAATTCTGATGTCACGCAGTACGTACATGGCAGTATTGTGACTACGATTTTAGTCAATATCGAAGAAATAAAAATAATCTTCGAACATTAGAATGGATGTTTATACTAATTTCTTTATTTTATTCTTTTTCCTGGTGAATATAATATTTCCATTTTTTACTATTACGTAAGTGCTAAATTCATTAATAAAGATATTGTATTAGTTAAAAGTTAAAGTTATAGCCAATATACGACAACAGGCAAAGGTCTCCTTTCATTACAAGGCGAGGAAATGCCAAACGCGTTGCCTCTCTGCATGTTGGCGGACTTCACATATCTTTGAAATATATTTTTCCTCAAACATAGTAGATACTATGTCTATAGGCATTTTAAATTGTCATAAAGAACATCATATTTACGAATAGAAGAAAGAGTCTTTCAGTCTGAAAATGTCAGGGAGCGTGTATATAAGAAAGTTTTTGTTTTTTATTCAATTACTGGGTGAAATAGACCAAAATATATTATGCATAAAAAGGCTATGTAAGATTCCACTATCGTGTTATACTACTATGATGCACATACAAGTGTAAAATAACTACATTCAATGGGACAGTACGGCAGATATTTTCAGCCCCAGCCGTAAGTTTATGTTGATAAAATATTACTTTTAACTTATATACTTTAATTATATAAAATTATCTTACTTATTTTTTCATCTATTACAGCTTCAAAAAAGTCCACCGATTAACATAGGCCTCACCCAAAGATTGCCTCCTAGTAGATTTTTTTTTTCAAATTATGTGTGAGAAGCTATGCAAGTCTAGTGAAAGATCTCAATCTGTAGAAAAGCAAACTCGAACCACCCTAGGCGTTAATCCTTTACAAACTAGCTCTCACCATGTTGTCTAAATAATGATCAAGGGGCGTTAGGCATAGAAGTGCGCTTAGATCCGCTCCAGACGATGATCGCATCGCTCCAGTTGCCATTAAGCAGGCGGCCCTTTGTAGACTATTTAGTCTGTCCGTAGTCGTCTTTTGGTTGGCCTTATTGCACCAGACAGTGGAGGTCTAGGTAAGAATCAGCCTATAGGCTATACACATTCCTTTGGCTATAGATTTATACTGGGACGCAAGCGCCAGTTATTCGCGACCAAACGACTGCACGTACCTAAAGCAATTTTGCCTTGTAGCATACGTTGGTAAGGTGAGAGTTTCACGTTAGTTTTTGGTCAATTGTTACGCCCAAGTACTTAACTTCAGTGGAGAATGGTATTTCTTTACCATTGAGTATTGGTTTGACTAATTTGTCCAAGCGTCTCTTTATGGTAAAGGGTTTTATAGCAGTTTTATCAGCATCAACTGATAAACAGGTATACCTACACCATTTATCTGTGGTGTTTAGGGCTCTTTGTATGATTAACGATAAAGTACCTTGGTAAAAGCCCCTCGCAATGATCACAAGATCATTAGCATAACCTAGTGTGTCAATGCGAAGTCTGCTATCTTCTATACAATACAATACAGTAGTTGGTCAACCGCAAGAGTCCAAAGAATGGGTGACAAAACACCGCCTTGTGGGCAGCCTCTTGTAGTTGCAACCTCAATCGAAGTTTGAAACAGCGCTATTTTTGCCTTTCAGTTTGAGAGCATCGACTTCACCCACATGATGGTTGTGGGGTCAATAGTTTAAGATGTTAGGCACTCAAACAACAATGATATGGGGCTACTGTCGAAGGCGACCTCTTTATCTAGAAAGGCACAAACAGCTATTTCTTTAGCCTCTTGTGCTTTTTCAACCCTGTCAATAACACTGATCGGGGCTGTTTCCTAAGATTTGCCTCTGCGGTAAACATGCTGGAGTATGTGTGTGCTTCTCTAGTCCTCGTAGCTAGAGCTTCATCTCATCATTTGATTTTTATAATATATAATATTCAGTTAATCATATCAATCTGATCTGTAAAAAAAATTGGTTTTGCTTATTTACTTACAAGAATTAGAAATTGAGGATTAACTTTATGAAGTCATGTAAAACTTTTTTATGTCAGACTTGAGATAGAATCTCGTACAAAAGTAAAGTCCAGTAAAATCTTTAATCTATTTCCGCATTTATAAATGTATTTCGTGAATTATTTGTTTCCATTAATATTTTATTATATTAACAAAAAAATAATAATTAATCAATTATAACATAAACGTAGTAGTAGTGGACATGATGATGATGATTAAATAAGTAACGGTGTAATTAGTACATTACAAAGACAAATATTAATATTTATTCATAACTTATTAGTATTAATAAGTTTTACTTCAATTGTGATAAAGGTTTAAAAGCACTATATATACATTTCTGCAATCATACTATTAAAAATACTACTAAGTATTTTTTGGACTTATTTACTTACAAGAAGTGGTTGTGTTCGAATGGAATATCCATTGGTATCTGCAGTATAAAATATTTTTTGTAAAACTCCATCGGAATCCATGTAAGAATAAAAACCTTCCACGTCAACGTGCTCGTCGGGTTGTCCTGCATTAACAAGATGGCCACTTTCTTCTCTTGTTATGCCGTTAGATGTTACATATCTGTAATATGTTTTACAAAAAAACGATTATTACATTCTTCAGAAAACAGGGCATCATAATAGTCTTTTACGAGATAATCATAGTAATGAAAAAATATAGTTATTATTTGATACCTGAAGAGGTAGTTCCCGTAACCATCGTTTGTATTTTGATATTCCACAGTTTCTGCTTGAGATTCTGGTGTAAATGATGCACCGTTAACATATAAGAATAAAGCAAAAACAGTCACAACTCGAAACATTTTTATATTCACCCAGTTAATAAATAAACTATATTAGTTTTATATTACGTAAGTTAAGTTTGTTGTTAGGTTTATTCACCACAACAAAATAAACACAACTTTACTATACGAAGTTGGCGGTAGTCATCATTTTCTCATCCATGAGCCTTAGTTTTTATAAGCAAATTATAAACCCGTTATTATTTGTAGAGTAGAATGAAAAAAAGGTTAAATCGTGATAGGATATAACGTCAAATTATTACCTATATGCTTAGACCTGTTATAGGCAAATGGCGCAAGCATTTACAACAATATTTTTTAGCAATATTGCTAAGCTATGCAAATTATATTTCTGTAACATGTTTTCTTTTTATATTTCTTTGATAATTTTTGTAATTGTAAACTTAGACACGAAACAAAATATTTAAATTTTAAAATAATCTATAATTAGCGTTTCATACTCATTTTTTAAATATTGATAGAATATTATTTTAGTATAGTCTGATGTTAACGAATAATATGTCCGTATGTTCCGCGTCAATTTTGACGTAAAAAAGTGCGCACGATCGACAAGTAACAATTTACCCGACGCTAGGAGGCTACCACTGAACAATGAAAAGAAGATACAGTAGCCCAGCGACTGCTTACAAAAAAGAAAGCTACAGAAATGATACCTTTGAAAATTAAGGTCTTTCCATGTCCATCGATTCGGAACACATCAGCGAGTGTACTGTCGCTTGGCGGTAGAAAAAGTTAAAACAGTAGGTACATAAACAGATGGTTTCCTAGGTATGAAAGTAATCCTATCCTACCCACGTCTATAATATTTTTATTATAAAATGAGTGCTGGCTCTGAATTAGCTCCATATTGATTTTTCTGAGATTTTTGACATCTATATTGTTAAATTAAGAAGAAAAAAATACAAATGAGTTATAAATATGAATTCATTATACTCAAGTTTTTAGGTTCTAATTAACATCTTAGAAAAAACACAGCCTTGAACGCGGTTCCTGAGAATTTGCACTTATAAAGTATTAACGAATGTTATATATTGATATTGTTTTAGATGGTTTGTCTGATTGTCTCGGTACATTGGTATCTATTTCTGTCGTAAAATAGCGGCGCGTACACAGCTACTTGCCGGTTTGAAGGGTATTGATAGCGAGTATAATTAGAGACTGTGAGTTATTCCATCTTAGTTCTCAGAGGTGATAACTCATCCGTTATTGTATGACAAACTATACAACGAAGCCTTTGTTTTTATAAGTCTGCAGGTGCCACTTGCCATTTGGTTGACTGATATGAAGTTCATTTTTCACTCCTACTTTATTAAAAATGTGTGATTTCTGCAATTTTTATTCTTCAAACCTATTTTGTATGCAGGCTGTATGTAGTGTTATTTTGAATTATCTTTATTTTACCTTTATTCGAATTTTAAGTTGAATTTTACGTACTAATTTTATTAGTTCAATAATACCTGGACTCAAAATTTAGGCATTTTTGAATTAGTGTCGTAATTCTTTCTCATAAGTAGTACACATTTAAAACTGATTAAAAAAACCTATTTAAACAACATAAAAAAAAACTGATGATCAATATTTTGATTTTATTATCCAACTTTTGATTTTATTATATAACTGTCTGATAACACATCCACTGTAAGATAATCCATCATCCTATTTATTCTTGTGGGTGTCATAAGAGTGTGAGAGTTTTTAAAAAAGGCAATTTCAAAATAATTTGTTTATTACATGACCCCAATTTTGTTCAAGTACCTGCGGAAACACTCCAACACTGGGCTGATAAGATAGCAAGGCTGGTACGTCGCGTCTATATGTCAGCATCATTTGTTACCGAGGTAGAAATCGATCTACCTTAAGCATTTGTGGACGGCATCTAAAGAGTGCACTGTCATATGTGTTGGAGGTAGAAGCTGTGTGACGCGACGCGAAATTTTAGCAGCTAAGAGAATAGGTATCGGAAAAAGGAGGCTTTGATATGGTCCGATATGTTATGGGTGCAGGAAAAGTGAAGAGACAGAAATTTTGCTGTCAGAACTTAAAGCATAGCATGAGAGAAGAGTCTCGGCAAATTATCAGAAATGAACAGCCACCTAATTCGTGGGATTAAAGACTCGTTATGATCTGAGAGGAAATAAGCACTAAGGGAATTGATCGTTAGGATCTAAGCACTAAGTGATTTGATGTGGGAGTTACTTTATGGTTGCATTATGCTGAGGCCGAGATTGCAACCTTGAGATCACGGCACAAAAGATTATCGGTTTGTGTTACGATAGCTAGTTGCATATTACGTCACATTGCACGAATTTGTTCCCGCCAATAAGGGATAAAAAAATAGATAACGCTGATACTTTAATGCAAGTAAAAACCAACTTTATGTTCTATATAAAGGCTCATTTCTCCTTTGGTATCGCGAGTGTTCTAGAAGGTACTTAACGATCGAAAGAGTAGACTTAGATTGGCCTAGAAAGTTCTCATTTATCGAGTATAAATTTTTTTTTATTTTATCGAGTATAAAAGCTTGTGTCGGGGTGCGGAGAGTTAATTATTTCTGGAATAAGACAGTGAACTCGACTCCGGGAAGTGACTACGAGAATTCGATCTACAACATCTGCGATTATTAAAGACAGAATAAGCTTACTGATTTTGGACGACGTATTTATAAACTTACTCTGTGTGTAGAAAAATACATTAGTTTTCATTCTAATCGACATTTTTAATCACCCCGCACGTAAAAATTATAATAAAATAGAAACTATAACAATAGTGTAACGAGCTTAGGGTTCGTGACAATAAAAATTGCCGACAGAATTACCTAAATTAACACTTTAATTTTCTTTACACCAATTAAAACTTAAAATACTAATAATTAATCACACTGATTCACTTTATTTCGCTCCGAAGCTTCGCTAGTCTCGCCAAACTCAATACTTCCCCGATCGCACCTTGCAGCGCCTATAAATACACATTAGCACTGAAACATCCAGAACATTCAAGTAAATACGCGCAAGGCTTCGAAAGTTTGAGTGTCGGCTTCTGGAAGCTTAGTTCTTCGTTTTGACATTAGATGGCGCTGTCGGTTGCAACATTAGTGATGTCATTTTCTGGAAAGTTCCCCCCGCTCTCGTCCCTGACAAAACATGACGTCAACTTAGGTGTGCAACACTGCCTCCTCCTAAGACATGCTCGTACCGAGCATTATCGGCCCAATAATAACGCGCCAAGCGATCCAATGGACGATCTTAGGAATCCCTCTTGCGCCTTTCTGTATCCGGTAGGTTACATCGTTGATCCTGGTTACAATCCGGTACGGGCCGTCCCATTTAGCTTGAAACTTAGGAGATTTCCCTTTGCTGCGGACTGGATTGTGCAACCACACTAGTGAACCTTCGTCCAACCCTCTATTGTTTATTTCCGGGTTTTCACCTTCTCAGACATTTGCTGGCCCGATTGTCTGACGTGCTCATAAATGTCATTCATTTTATTCAGCAATTCGTTTGCATAATCGGTTAGACTGCGTGGGGCATCAGGTGGTATCCCGGTGATCAGGTCTGCAGGCAGCCGTAATTCTCTTCCAAAGTTTGCGAAAGCTGGCGTCGCTGCTGTACTTTCGTGAACAGCGCTTCGATATGACAACAAAAACGGTTGTATGTGCTTGTCCCAATCTCGTTGCCGATTATCTACAACTTTTGCTAGGTACCTCTCCAATGTCTAATTAAATCGATCTACCATTCCATCAGATTGCGGGTGATAAGAAGTCGTTCTTGTTTTATGAGTACCCATAACTCGGCAAGTTTTCTGGAATATTTGAGACTCAAAATTCCTTCCTTGTTCGCTGTGAATTTTTAAAGGTACTCCAAAACGATAGAAAACTTCATGAACTTGTTTATCTGCAACTGTTGAAGCTTCTTGATTCGGAATGGCGAAGACTTCCGGCCACTTAAGTATTCCATCACAACCATGAAATACTTGTTACCGCTTTCACTCTTCGGAACCGGCCCCGTTACGTCAATGGCTATTCTCTCCCATGGTGCATCAACATTGTACAACTTCAATGCACCTCTACTACGAGTCTGAGGTCCCTTTACAGCCGCACAACTTGTACATTTACGACACCAGTCCTCGACATCGTTTCGACAGTGGACCGAGTAAAATCGTTCTCGAATCTTCAGTAGGGTTAGTTTAACTCCCTGGTGGCCTCCTGAATAATCATTATGGTACAGCTGTAGAACATCCAGTACTTTGGCTTTAGGGACAACCATTTGCAAATGACAGCTGTCTCCCCGAACATTTTTCCATTTACGGCACAGAACTCCATCCTGAAGCAGCAAACTGTCCCACTGGGCGCAATAGCTTTTAGTGGTCGAACTCATCGCTGAGACGTCGCTCCACTTGGGCTTGGGAGCACTGGCCTTCATCCATTCCAGAATCGGCTTGATGTCCGGATCTTCCTGCTGTGCACGTTGTAAGCTGTCCTTCCACTCGTTGCTGAGGTGGTCTGCCCTGAGCATCCTCACGGATACCACTTCCTTACTCTCTTGCCTAGTGCAATGTTTGCAATCTTCAGGACAAGGTCTTTTTGACAATGCATCTGCGTTGCCATGAGATTTCCCGCTGCGATGTTCGATCTCAAAGTCGTATTCCTGCAGTAGTTCAATCCACCTCGCAACTTGTCCTTCTGGATTTTAAACTGCAATAGCCATTTTAGTGCAGCATGGTCAGTTCGTAAGTGAAATTTTCGCCCCAGAAGATATTTGCTAAAATGCTGCAACGACTTTACCATAGTTAGCAATTCGCGTCTTGTACACAATAGTTCCTTTCCGGTTTTGACAACGACTTGCTGAAGTACGCTATCACGACCTCTTGGTCACCATTCCGTTGAGACAACACACCGCCAAGTCCTATATCACTTGCGTCTGTGTCAACTATAAATTCTTTGCTTGCATCAGGGTATCCCAAAATAGGCGTTTTGCACAGACGGTCCTTGAGCTCCTGGAATG